TTGTTTTCAGTCACCCTAGGCCTTCCTATGTGGCACCAGTATTAACCAGCAGAGTCAGCACCACACCACTGGAGCTGGGCCAGAATTTCTTTTCTTTTTTTAAGTTTCAATTTATTCCCTTCGTGTGTGTGTGAGAGAGAGAGAGAGAGAGAGAGAGACAGAGAGAGAGACAGAGAGAGAAGGGCACCCCCAGCAGGGTCTGTACATAGTGATCCTCCCCTAGCCCTGCATCCAGCCGGAACAGTGCCCAGCCTGTTTAGACCCACCCAGGCCATGGACCTAGAATCTTTCCATACGGTTTTTAGCATCATCCAGCAGTGCCCCTCTTGCCTGTATCTGTGACTAGACCCAGAAGTTTTTATTTTTAAGTGGTTTTTATTTTAAATTTAAATTTCTAATTTTATCATGTAGAGTTTATCTTACAGTAATGCTTTTGAAGCTTTTGGAGAAAGGAATTGGTCAAGTGTGCCAGTAAATATCCAGGTTTTGTTTTTTGTTGTTGTTTTTTGTTGTTCTTTTGTTTTTTTAAATATGCACCCTCTTCCCAGGAAAAATAAAATACATACTCATACGTATTCTTAATTTTGCATTCCATCTTGATTTGAACACCCTCCTCAAGCCTGTTGTTGGAACTCTAAGTTAAAAACTCCTGTCTCAGGCCCAGCAGTGGTGGCTTAAGTGCCATTGCACAAAGCTTGGGCCACATGGAGGCCTGGGCCAATTTGAACAAATTGGGTGCACCCACATACCTGTGATCCTAGCTAATGGGCGGCTAGGGCCAACTATCACCACAGTGAGACTGTGTCAGAAATGGTAATCTCTCTCATAAAAGTAAAAAAAAAATAAACTTCTATCCCAGATCAAGCAGCCTTTGTTTTCTTATATGACACTAATTTAGCATATATACTGGTTGTGTTATTTTGTGTTTTGTTCTGTTGGTTTTATTTTGGGTGGAGGGAGAGCAAGGTAGAGATGGGTGTTTTTGACAGAATAGCACCATGCCATGACCACCTGCCCTGGCTTCCCAGTTAGAGTTGCAGGTACATGTCATCCCCTGAGACCTGCTTCAGGTTGGCCTGGGAACTGAACTCAGGCCTCCATGTGGCACCAGCCTCAACAATAGCACTCTACTATCTGAGCCGCTGTCTGGGCCTGCTTTTATTTCTGGAAGGTCGCCATTTGAGCTCTGTAGAGTTATGTCACAGTTTCATCTGCCTCTATGGGAGTTGGTGAAAGCATGTCTCACCCTGTTCCTGCCTACCTGGACCTGAGTAACATGGAGGCCTTGGCAATGCCTGACCAATGAGCAATGGGGGATGCTTTCTTTATTGAAGAAGCTCTTTTTTGTTGTTGTTTGTGTTTGTTTTCTTTTGCATTAGGGCAGGTGGGTTTGCCCAAGAGAGACAAAAGAGAGGGAAAATCACCCCCTGGGAAGATGTCCATGCCACAATCCCTTCCCCTCCATTTTCCTCCAGGGATTTTGGGCACATGCTAACATGTGCCCAATGTGATTTTCAAGCTGCTGGGTCTGGGACTTGAACCACATAGCCGACTCTTTGGGATGCAACACCTTAACCTCCACGCTACTTGCTGACCCTCGAAGATGCTCTTTTAAAATCATCTGTGAAACATGTTGATAAACCAAAAGCTTGTCTATTTGTCCATCTGGCCTTCCTTTGTTCCTTTTTTCCTTCCTTTTAAGTTTTATTGCTGTATGGGAAGAGCTAACATGAGATTTACCCTCTGAGCCCCTTTTTAACCGTCCAGTGTGGGGTTGTTGACTGGGAACAGCGCCTTGTGGCCAATCTCGAGAACTGCCTCTTCTCAGCTAACTGAAACTACACCCATGATTAGTAACTCCCACTTCTCTTTCTCCCAAGCCTCTAGCAACCACCACTGCACTCATCTATGAATTTGACTATTTATATGTAACATGAACGCAGAGTCATGCACTGTTGTCTTTTTCGTGGTCAGCTTATTTCTCTTAGCATGATGTCCTCAAGCTTCATCCATGTTCCTGAAGCTCCTGCCTCTTTTCTTCTGTCAGCCTTCAAATGTTGCTGGCCCTGTTCCCCCCCGAGATCCATGTCTGTTCACTCCCATCACTCGTGCTTTGTTGTCTGCCTGCTACCCTCCCCATCCCCTCCTCCTTTCCACATCTGTCTAACATCCTGTCGGTGTGACTCCGCTAGCCTCCATCATGTAGTCACCGGTGAGCTTTTCATTGCGTACGTTTGTGAGTGAGGGCCCAGAGGACAGATTTGAACAGACCGACCTGTGTTCTGCACCCTGTAGAGCTTCTAGTCTGTAATCTAATAATCACTCAAAAAAGTATAAAGTTACCCCTCATGACTGTAAAGAGGAGAGGAGTGTGTGTTATGAAAGCCTGCAGCAGGGAGATGTGTCCAGGGGAGGCTTCCTCGCCATGGGAATGTGGGGCGGAAATCCACGTGATGAGTTACCTGGGCAGAGGGTGGGAGCAGCAGGAGAAGTGGAGGGAACAACATGTGCCAAGGCACTGCCAGGACAGAACAAACACCTTGGAGCCTGAGAGGCAGCCAGGTGGCCAGGCGAGGAGGGAGAGGAGGCACGTGCAGTCGCAGGAGCGGAGAGCAGGATCTGGGAAGCCTGCTTACACTCTGCAGCTTGGTCCAGTGGGCCTGGACACCCCTGAAGAGTTCTGATTGGGGAGTTCAGATACCTGTGTCAGATATTCTTCTGAGCTCAGCAGAAATCCTGTTTACTTTTCAAACTGAGCTGGGAAAATACTGTGTCTGCCTACTGTCTTCACTTGGTTTTACTGAGCATCCGAGGCCTTGCAAAGATGAAGACAGCTTTATATATATATATATATAAGAAGAGGTGGTCAGGTGGACCAGTATATGTTCATTTGTTCCTTCAGCACATATTATTAGAGGACCATTCTTTTTATATACTTTCAGTTTGAAGCTCTTACTGGGTGTCAGGTGTTCTAGGTGTTGGTGTAACACTGAACAAAATGAAGTTCCTTGTTGTAATTTAGATAACTTTTTTCTGAGTATGTTACATAGTCAAGGAAATGAAAATGAATTTGAAAAGTAGCTAAGCATGTATCTGTGTCATCTTAGACTTTAGCTGGTGTGTTGGTTAGTTTGCAGTTATGTTACTGAATTTCAGATGGAATTTAGAAGCATAATTCCCTTTAAGTCTTAAATTGTAGCAAACATACAATATAAAGCATAACCTATAAAGCAATACATTTGTGTAATGTGTTGGGGCAGAAATGCACAGAAAGTTTACATTAATCATTTACAGTATTTTGTAACATAAAATAAAGACATATGTAGATGAATTCACTTGTGTTCGTGGATGTGTGATTAGGGGCACTGCAGTTCATGTGAACCCCATTTGCTCCTAAGGATTATGTCTGCTTGCATTTTCCCAGACCGAGACCATGCAGTATGGAATGGCCAGGTTAGCTTGACCTGCAGTCACGTCACAGTGATTGGCCCTGACTGCCAGTAAGGTTTGCTCAACTCTGATCAGTTCGCACTTGCACGTTCAGTTTTCTCTTCTGCTAGGAGTAGTATTAGGCTTCGAGTGAGCCTCGATTTTGTTTAACGCTAGTAATTATCAAATGTGTTTTGGAGTACAGACGTTTTCTTACAAGATGAACTTCAACCTCAAGTTGTTTTTTTGGAGAGGTTTCTTTTTTTTCTTTTTTTTTTTTGTTATAGGGCGCGTGCGCTTGCCAGAAAGAGAGAGACAAAGAGACAGAAAGCGAGAAATCACCCTCCGGGGGGATGGCCACGCCTCAATCCCTTCTCCTCCATTCTCCTCCTGGGATCTTGGGCATGCACACACATGCACCCGGTATGAGTTTAAGCCGCCGGGTCCAGGACTTGAACCGCGGTCGACTATGTGGGAGTCCAGCGACATAGCCATTACGCTAACTGCTGGTCCCAACCTCAAGTTTGATTGATTGCCTTCCTAAGGCCAGCACTGCCATAATTGGACTTCCCCCACTCGGTGTGCCCATTCCTTGATTCTAAAACCTGACATTGAAGGCTCTGGAGGACTGTGTCCCCCACTTCCTTGACTTCTACAGCAGTATCTGTCTGTCAGGATTTGCTCAGTTTTGCTTATCGTCCTGCTCACAGCTTTTCTTCTCTCAGCCTCATCTTTCCTTCCGCATCGTTCTTGGCCATCCCAGTACCTGTCTCTAGGGTGTGAGCCTCTTTCTCTCTTTACAGAGCATTTTCATTGGAACCAAGAGAAATGGTTGTGTTTATTTTTACTCTCTGGCAAGTTACTAAAACAATACTTGCTGAGGGCATCCCGGGGGGTACATGGTGGCTAGGTGCTGGACTCCCACATGGCCGACCATGGTTCCAGTCCTGGACCTGGCAGCTTGAAAATCTCACTGGGCATATGTGCTTGAGTGCCCAAAATCCCAGGAGGAGCATGGAGGAGAAGGGATTGTGGCATGAGCATCCTCCCCCTGGGGAAAAGTTTCTCACTTTTCCTCTCTGGCCAGCACATGCACCCTATGACCAATAAAAAAGAATATTTGCTGATACATGTTTTATGGAGTCCTAGTTTCTTCCTCTTAAGTTAATTTTCAGAATTTTCAATGGTCCAGAGGATATTTTTAATGACATTGTTACGAGCTCTGATAAACAAATTGCAAAGTGTGGCAGAAGGCATGAGTACCTGTCACCCGATTCTGGTGTGTGCTGTGCAGTTACATACCAAGTGGCTCAGCTCAGCCTTTCTTCTGATGGATATAACATCATCATATCCTTTTACAGTAGAGTCTGTAATATGGGGGACTTCACAAGGCTCTTGGAAAAATTAAAGTACCAGATTATTTTGGTGCAAAATTTTTTAAAATCTGTGCATGGTTTTTTCATAGTTTGCATTTTCCATGATCATCTTTTTTTTTTTTTTTTGAAAGGTTTTCACTATAGGGCACGTGCACTCACCAGACAGAGAGAGACAGAGACAGAAAGCGAGAAATCATCCCCCAGGGGGGATGGCCACACCGCAATCCCTTCCCCTCCATTCTCCTCTCGGGATCTTGGGCATGCATGCACACGCGCCCGGCGTGAGTTGTAAGCCACTGGGCCTGGGACGCGAACTGTGGTCGACTATGTGGGAGTCCAGTGACATAGCCATTACGCTAACTGCTATCCTTCCATGATCTTCTTGAAGGCCCTTTCATTTGTATTTCTAGTCCAGCTAATGAGAAAAGATCGTGCTCTCATGATTTTGTTCTTATCATATGCTGAGTAGTCATTGTGCTCAAAGTCCAGATTCCTTTTTAACTGGGAGAGGCATTTTGGAATATCTATCAGATAAAAATTATTACTGAAATTCCTCACTTTCTGTGTTTCTTTGGTCTCTAGACACATTCCTTAACCCAGCGAAGAGCTGTCCAGGGTAGAAGAAAACGATTTGATGTATTATTAGCCGAGCACAAAAACAAAACCAGGGAAAAGGAATCGATTCGCCATCCGGACTCTCAGCAACCACCGCAGCCTCTCAGGGACCCGCATCCCGCCCCTCCCAGAACGTCACAGGAGCCGCACCAAAACCCTCACGGAGTGATTCCTTCCGAATCAAAGCCTTTCGTAGCTAGTAAACCTAAACCTCACACCCTTAGTCTTCCAAGGTAAGCCAACCCATCCATTTCTTCCTCCCTCCTTCAGAGACAGACTTGCAGACACCATAAAACCCCAGCACAGCCATGGTGTTTGAGTACATACGTCAGGCTCACTGTGCAGATCTCTTTAAACTGGGTTTTTCTATGGGAAAAAGAAAAATGTGTTCATCAGTAAGTTTCAACCAGGACTTTTCTTGCTTGCAAATGCAAGTGGCAGAGTAAAGCTAGGTTTATCTGCTCTACACTTGCTGAATGACAGGTGTCTCTTAACCCCACCAAGCAGGACTGAGACTGGGTCCTACTGCAGGTTAGTGATCGGAACATTTCACCTGCTTTGGCAGCAGTTTCCCATTCATTTGTCTTGCTTCTTGCAATACACAGCAGTGGAAATTCTGGGAACAGGCATCCAGCCTGAATTTTTACAGCATCCATTTATCAACATGTTTTTTCATTCATTCATTTGGGAGTTTGGACTGAGCACGTATTAGGCATTTTAGCAGTCTAGCAAGCAATGGGTCAGTGTATTAATGAGAACCTGTCATACACGTTCCTCAGAGGCAGCGATGGTGGAACATGGGTGCGTTTGTGCCTGCTCATTTACCCACGTGGAAATAAAAAACCGGACCTTGTGCCCGATTGCCAGAGAGAAGGTTTTTAAAGAGAAAGGCACAGAGAATGAGGGCTTCTGTGCAGGCTGCTCACTTGCCGGCGGCAAGGGCTTCTGCTAGGAGCATGCCAGCCCTCGGTTGTGGTTGCTTAACGATTCACCCTCACGTGCCTGATCCATGAAGTGGTGGCACTGAGGTGGACGTTCCCCTCATGGAAATCCAGCCTGTGCTTGAGCCTGTCCCTGTGTGAGCCCCCGGTTTCTGAGCAACACCCTGGAGTTGCAGTTGGAGACTTCTCCCTGAGTGTGGTCAGGCCCAGGCCAGAGAGTCCTTAGCAAGTCCTGAATCTGGCCATCTTCTCATTGAAGTTTGCCCGCCTATAATAAAGTAAACTTAATTGCACAACTACTCGGCCACTATAGAGATAGGAAAAATATGTTAGTGGCCTTCAGTCACAGTGTGCTATCCACAGAGTGAAATGCTACCTCGCCCTCACCATCGCCCGTCCCAACTTTGCCAGTTGTCTCACTTATTGCCTTAGTGACCCAAACCTGGATGAGATTGGAGGAAATAAAGAATTCTTTTGAATTCTGTATTTCTCCTCCTTTGGAGAGAATTGAAAGAAGACTTGCTCCACCTGAGTGACTGTAGAAAGGAGGACTGTCTATAAGTTACCTTCGGTTATATCTGGCAGACAGCCCAACTTAGCCTTGTGCAGTCCAGGAGCGAGCTTCCTTTACTCACAGGCCACCTGGATCAGCCTCTTTTTTCCCCAGTGCTAGTGGAAGTCAGGCCTCCCGTAATTGGTTTGGATACGGTGTTGTATCTGAGTTAAGGCGCTGATGCCCAGGCGTGTGATCTGATCCGTGCTGCACTTTCTGCTCACCAAGGCCTCCAGGCTGCCCTGCTCAGCAAGGTGGGAGTGCCCCCATTGACCCTCCTCCAGTCCATGAATCTCCACACCCTCCCCTGCCTGCCACTGAGCCAGCTTCTCGGTTATCCAGTGAGGAGGGCGAAGGCGATGACAAAGAAGAGTCTGTTGAAAAACTGGACTGTCATTATTCAGGTCATCATCCTCAGCCAGCATCTGTAAGTTCCACGTCCACCCCGCGTTGACCCTCCCCACGCAGCATGGACAGGGCACTGCAGGGGGGCGCGCCAGGGACCTTGGCATGCCCGCACGTGTGGGACGCGGTGAAGGTTTGAGAGCAGAACAGGGCGCCCTAGAGGCGACACGCACCCTGTCCGGGGACTTCTCATGCTTTTCCCTTTCTCTTCCACGACACTCAGGGCTAGGCATTGTCACGTTCATGCTTCACAGCCTGCGGTGCTCAGAGTCAGCTCTGTCTTTCCTGGTTAGCGCCTTTCTTGAAGGAGAGAGAGTCCTCAGCCGAGGGCGAGGAGTCGCAGTCAGCCAGCACGTGCGCCTGTGTTCTCTCTTGCAGTTTTGCACATTCGGGAGCCGGCAGATTGGAAGAGGCTATTACGTCTTTGACTCCAGGTGGAACCGGCTTCGCTGCGCCCTCAACCTCATGGTGGAGAAGCATCTGAACGCGCAGCTGTGGAAGTGAGTGCCTGCTGGGGGGCCCTTCTTTGCTTTATGTCTGTGGGACTGGTTTTACGAAGATATGCTTGTCTGCAGGAAAACGTGGTCTCCAGCCCACCCCGAGAAGAAGGCCCCTTGCTGTTCATTCATTCACGCACGCACTCAGCAACTTGATGCCGTTCAGGGTGCCGGGGTTGGAGGCAGAAGGACTCCCACATATGCCGAGCTGACAGTTGAGTTGGGAGTGAGGGACAGACAAAAAGTCAGTCAAAAGAAAAATAAATAAGTAGCTTACAGCTTGGCATAAGGGAGAGAATGGAGACAATAATACCAACACTTACTGAGAAGACCTTTCTATGAGCCAGGCAAGTTATGAAATAGATATGTGTGTGTGTTTAGAGAGAGAAAAAGAATGAGCCACATACATGCGTGCATGTTTTCTTTTTCTTTCTTCCTTTTTTTTTTTTAATGATGGAAGCAGGATAGAGAAAGAAATACTTGACAGGGTCTCACCACATCACAGTTTTCCTGCTCCAGTCTCCAGTTAGCCAGGATCACCAGGTGGACCACCGCACCCATCTTGTTCAGACTGGGCCAGAAACCAAACCCAGCCTCCCATGCTGCCCCAGCCCTTGTGCAGTGACGCCCTCCTGCTTGCGCCATCGTGGCTGGGCCCACGGTTGTGGAAGTCAGGTGATCATGGTATCCCTGTATTACAGATGATGAAACTAAGATACAAGGTCATGCAGTATATTAGTGGCCAGGCCAGGATTCGAACCTAAGGGCAGTTTGTTTCCAGACGACTGAGGTGAGAAAATAACCATCCTGGAGATTCAGGGAAAGCCACCATGGACTGAACCCTTGAGCTGAAGTACATGGACGAGAGAGACCAGCATTGGAGATTGTGGCAGGAGGGGAGTTGAGGCTGAAGGAACCAAAAGTGTGAAGGGCTTCAGTCAGAAAGGCCGACAGCTTGTTCAGGAAACAGTGAGAAAGTGAACATGGTTGAAGGTGAGGGCCAGAGACCAGCAGGGGCCAGATGATACCAAAACTGGCCCTGAGTAGCGGAAAACCGTTAGTTTTAGGTAGAGGAGCCAAGTGCTCTGACTGCAGTTTAAGACATTGTGCGGGCTAGCCCACGCTGTGGGGGTCGATCCCACACTGCCAGCTCCCAGCCTGGTGGCGGGAGAAATACCGGGCATGTGTGCGTGCATGCCCAAAATCTCTAAAGGAGAAAGGGAGACAGGATGGGATGTGGCCATTCCTCATGGAGGGTGCCTTCTTACCCTCCCTCTTTTTCTCCCTCTTCCCCTTTCTGTCTCTGTCTCTCTCCTCTGGCAATTGCACACAACACACGCAGTAGCAAAATTTGAAAAAAGACATCTCATGTGGCATTAGATGTGCTAGTGTTCGCCAGATGGGATTTTAGGTGGAGAAAGGGCTCCATGGCCAATGCTGTTTAACTCAGCCTTTCTCAAAGTAAAAGAGTTTTCCTTACTCCAGAACCTCTCAGAGATTTTAATAGGTGCTGTGCTTTGTTACTCTCAAAGCAGGAAATGTCACGTAGAATGTGGAATGTCCTGTGGCGTTGGCTTGAGGAACTGGTATTTGGTAGGAACTACTTAGGTGAACGTTGAGCTTTACTACCAGGTGCTGACCTGTAATTCCTGGATCACCCCAGATGACCCAGTGAGGCCTCACTAGTGCCTCCTTGCACAGGCTCTGCCAGTACATGCATTTGCCTCACTGCCTGGGCTTCTTTTTTTTTTTTTGGAGAGGTTTTTGCTATAGGGCGCGTGCGCTTGCCAGACAGACATAGAGACAGAAAGCAAGAAATCACCCCCCAGGGGGGATGGTCACGCCGCAATCCCCTCTCCTCCATTCTCCTCTCGGGATCTTGGGCACGCACGTACGCGCGCCCGGCATGCGTTTTAAGCCACCGGGTCCAGGATGCAAACCACGGTTGACTACATGGGAGCCCAGTGACATAGCCATTAAGCTAACTGCTGGTTCCCTGCCTGGTCTTCTTAATAAAGTCAGAAGAAGCTGGCCAAGGCCCACGATCCAGAGAACCATCTCCATATTCTTTAACAGGACTTTTGGCTGTTCCTTCAGCAAACTAGATCCAGACCAGTGTTACACTACTTTTTACTAGTTCTTATTGGATACAAAGCTCTTTTCTTTTTCTTTTTCTTTTTCTTTTTTTATTTTATTTTATTTTTACTTTTGCCAGAGGACACATGCAGTTGTAGAAGAGAAACAGAGAGAGGAGGGCGGAGAAGGAAAGTGGGAAAGCAGCTTCTGTGGGGGGTGATTACACTTCCTTCTCTATTTCTCCTCCTCTTCAGGATTTTGGGCACACACACAAGTAGCATGTTTTGCAAGCTGCTGGGTCTGGGACTCACACTATGCAGTCGACCCTGTGGGGATACAGCTACCTTAACACTGTGCCATGAACTGGCTCTTCTTTTCCTTTATGAAAAACCATTGTCCCTGGCCAAAGATGGAATCAGGGGAGTGGTTTGTTGAAGTTCTTGGCACTCTCCACAGCAGGACAGCCCCGAATCCATGAAATCTCAGCTGCGTATTTCAGTAACTCAGACCACTGGTGGGACTTGGGGAGCGCTGAGTGCAGTGAACTGTGGGTTCAGGACACTGCTAAGAGTTTCGAAGGGCCTGCAGAATGTTTCAGCCCCGTTACATTGGTAAGTGGCTCACAGCCAGCAGTTCGGGGGAAGGTGGTTTCGGTTCCTGCAGCTGTGTGGAGAGGGTTTCCCCTTCATGCTGTGAACTTGTGAAAGCAGGACCATGAGGCCACCCCAGAGCCTCTCTCCGTTCTCTCGGAAGGCTGACTGCCTTATCACTTGCTCCCAGGGAGGAGGAAGCCATTTCTTCCTGTTAACACGAACTTTGGTTTTAAAAAGTCAACACAGCAGTGACAGATGTATCACTCAGTGACGAGCTGGCACACAGTGCCGGGCACACAGTGTTGCTTGGGCAAGAGTGCCAGCCCAGGTGTTGTGGAAGGTCTGTCGGCCTGCTCAGGCAGCCTTTCCAGGCCACCCTGAGACTTGTGAGGGGAGCTCAGTACTTCTCACCCAGAGAACTGCACTCAGGGGGCATCTTTGCCGCAATCTGGGGGGAAGTGACGGTATGGGGTGTGAGCAGAAGTAAGTCGTCCGCATTGTGTGGTCTCTGGACCGTGGTGGAGTTGGACCAGTGCTTCCTCTGCAGCATGGCTGTGACCAAAGGCTCTCGTGGTTTCTGAGAACTGCTTGCCCTCTTGCTCTGGGATCTCCATTCCACATCCCCTAAAAAGGAGCTGGATGGTTATCGGAATTTTGTTTCTTTTTTGACTTTTTGAATTGGTAATGCACTTACTTGGCTTAAGAGAGAAAGATGGCTGTAAAGAGACATAAAGTGAAATGTCAGCCCCCCTGTCCCTTGCCTCACAGGTGGAGCCATTTTTATTAGGTGCTTGTATGTCTTTACAAAATTATTTTTGTGCACACTTGAGTCAATATGACAGTATATTCTTACTTTGCCTCTTTTGTATACAAAAGGCAATGTGTAACTTAGAAGAGCGTTTTTTATAAAGAGGTGGGTATTGCCCAAAGAGATGCACCTCCTGCTGCTTGTGGAAAGAAGCCTTTTCCCTGGATTTGGTTCCAGGCAGCTCAGTGTTTAGGGCTCAGTGTCCTGCGCCACCCAGTGGCTACAAGGAGCCACTGCACCCGGCGAGCGTTAGTACCTGGACTTCGTTCAAAGCAGGACTTCTCAAATGAGCCAGTGCCTGTGAATCACCTGGAGGCCTAGCTGAGATACAGATTCTGTGAAGGCACTCTGGGGTGGGCCCAGGAACTTAGCGTTTAACACACCTGTCAGGTAATGCCAATTCTTGTCCTCCTCCATAGGTAGAGCTCAACTTCTCACTTTTGATTCTACATAGGAATCTCCTGGAGAGACTGAGAAATTATCGGGCTCTGTCCCCACAATCCCACACTAGTGTCGGTATGGTTACACTCCACGTAGGTGACTGAATGCAGCCAGAGTCGAGCAGCATTAACTTCAGGCCAGAGCTACATTCTTTTTGTTTGTTTTAAAGACAGGAGCTCCTGTCCGCCGCGACTACAGGCGTGTGCCACCACACCCAGCCTCAGAGCTACACTCTAGAGTGGGGTTTTTAAAGCAGGTACAAACACTTGCAGCCCTTCATTCCTTTTATTAATAACCGCAGTTCTCCTTTAAGAGCATTTCGGCAGTAGACGGGGGCATTGCCCTCACTTGAAAGATGAGGACTTTGAACCCCACTGGGCAGTGATGGGGCAGGCGGGGCCACGCCAGTCAGTCAGAAGCAAGGTAGTCATGGCACTTGCTTTCCAGGAGGGCTGTTTTCTGTTTTACCAACACCTTGCCTCAGTTTCATTCTCCAGTATTTAAATGTTGGTGCTGTCACATTTAAAACTCACAGTTAAAATAAAAGGGAGCCTCCGTGGTTTGACTGTTTGAACAGATCCCTCATGCCCTGGTAAATCCTTGCCCAGGCGTTACTAATATGTGGTAATGCAGCACTGTGACCAGAAAATCCCCTGAAATTTTGAGACTTTATTCTCTGTGCGGCTGCTCCGGTCAGTACTTAACAGCCTAAGACTGTACTGTGACCAGAAAATCCCCTGAAACTTTGAGACTTTATTCACTGTGCGGCTACTCCGGTCAGTACTTAACAGCCTGAGACTGCTATTAACAAGCTGCGCCTTCCCTGTTTTCTCACTGCGTCCTGAGCTCTCCCAGCGTTTATCGAGTACCTTCAGTATTCAGGCACTGTCCTGGGCTCTGGGGCTGGAATGGTAAATAAGCTGTGCTCCATCTACAAAGGGAGCTGGTGATTAGCAATCCCGTTAAAACTACCCTAAGTCTTACAAAGTCTGGGAAATGGGTTCATACAGGTCTGTGGAGGGCTGAGCAGGTCAGAACAGTTTTCTGAAGAAAGTGAAGAGCTGAGAGAAAGAGCAGAAGTTGGGGTGACAGAGGTCCAGGCAGAGGACACACAGCATCTTGTGTCATGGCATTTTCTTGGATCTAAGGCAGGGAGCTGGGAGTGGGAGGTGGAGTACAGGGCTGCCCCAGCCCCAGCATTTTCCTCAGAGCCCCAGGAGGTGATAGCGAATTTGGAGAGAAGGGACCGGACTGACCTTGCATCTTAGTGATCACGCTGATGGGATATGTTTCTCGAGTCACTGGACAAGGGGGTGACCGTCTCAGTGCCTATGCATCCTGTGCTGAATGCCACTCACTGTCCTCTCCTTTCTTTAGGAAAATCCCACCAGTGCCCAGCACCACGTCACCTGTCTCCACACGTGTTCCTCACCGGACAAACTCTGTGCCGACATCACAAGGCGGGGTCAGCTATCTGGCGGCAGCCACCGTCTCGTCATCCCCAGGTCTGCTCTCGGCCACCTGCATCTCCCCCAACAGCAAATCGGTGCCAGCTCATGGAACCACGCTCAACGCACAGCCTGCCACTTCCGGGGCGATGGATCCTGTGTGCAGTATGCAGTCCAGACAAGTGTCCTCCTCATCCTCGTCCCCCTCTACACCCTCCGGCCTTTCCTCGGTCCCTTCCTCCCCAATGTCCAGGAAACCTCAGAAGTTGAAATCCAGCAAGTCTTTAAGGCCCAAGGAGTCTTCTGGTAACAGTACGAACTGTCACAACGCCAGCAGCAGCACCAGCGGCGGCTCAGGAAAGAAACGCAAAAACAGTTTCCCACTGTTGGGTCACTCTTCTTCCTCCTCCACCTCCTCCTCCTGCTCCACTTCCTCCTCGTCTTCTTCTCATTCCATGGAGTCTTTTAGGAAAAACTGTGTGGCTCACACTGGGCCTCCCTACCCCTCAACGGTAACATCTTCCCATAGCATCAGCCTCAACTGCGTGGCAAATAAGGCGAACTCGGTGAGCGTCCGGCACGACCAGTCAGGGAGGGGCCCCCTGGGCGGGAGCCCTGCTGAGCCCATCAAGAGGATGAGTGTGATGGTGAACAGTGGCGACTCCACTCTGTCACTTGGCCCGTTCATCCACCAGTCCAGCGAGCTGCCTGTCAACTCCCACGGCAGTTTTTCACACTCACATACTCCTCTAGACAAACTCATAGGAAAGAAGAGAAAGTGCTCACCGGGCTCAGGCAGCATCAACAACAGCAGCAACAAACCCACAAAGGTTGCCAAATTGCCAGCCATGAACAACGTGCACATGAAACACGCGGGCGCCATCCCAGGGGCGCAAGGACTGACGAACAGTTCCCTCCTTCATCAGGTAGGAAGTGGACTGTGAGCCCCACGGGGACGCCATTTCTTCTCCCTCGAGATCTTTTGCCAGCTCAGAAATCTTTGTGGTGGGGTTGGTTGGTTTGCCCATAAACACATATCCAGCTTCATGGTGTCTTTTGAAAACGGAAACAGTCATGGCCGTGTGAAGGTAACACAGGCTCCTCTCTGCCAGCATTTCTGGTGCCTCGAAAGGCTCTCCTGGGTAAGGAAACCATGGTAATGAATTCAGAGAGGTCTGCAGAAAGCATCAGGCTTGACAGCCACACCAGGGTCACAGGGAGTCCCTCCACGTAGTCAGTGAGGTGGTGTCCCAGTGCTGTCAGGTGTGCGTCACAAGATGCTGTCAAGGAAGGATGTAGGCAGTGCTTCTTGGATAGTGGTTCTCCTGTATGTTTCTCTGAAGAAATCTGGGCTAAAATCAAAGTGCTCTAGAAATGGACAACTTAAGATTTTCAAAGAAAGCACTTTTGGGACCCCCAAGTTATATGTTTAAGGCACCAGACTCCAGCATGGCCCACCATGGTTTGAGTCCCAGACCCAGCAGCTTGAAAATCACACTGGGCACGTGCGCATGCATGCCCAAAATTCTGAGAGGAGTTCGAGGGTGATGTCTCACTTTTCCTCTCTCTGTCTCCCACTAGAAAGCACATACAACCTATGCCAAAACTTTAAAAAAAAAAAAAGAGACAGCTTTTAATAATTAGTCCTCTTGGGGAATTTCAGATATTCTGGTTAAATCTCACCCCATATTTGTTTTTATTTTATTTTTATTCGTGATTGAGTATGCACACTAGTGAGAAGAATCACACTAAACTCGCTACACCGTGATTCCCCTCCCACCATCCTCCAGCTCGTCAGGATCTTGGACATGCACACATGTGCTTCTGAACCTGTGGTCAGTCACGTGGCTTCCAGCACCTCAATTCAGTTTGTTATTGACTATGCCACCAGGATGGGCCCTCCCTGGGTTTTTTTGGTTTGTTTTTGAGAAATTTTTGCTACAGGGTACGTGTGTGAGACAGAGAGACAGAAAGTGAGAAATCACCCCCTAGGGACCAGCAGTTAGCATAATGGCTATGTCGCTGGACTCCCACGTGGTCGACTGCAGTTCGTGTCCTGGACCCGGTGGCTTAAAACTCACACCGGGCGCGTGTGCGTGTGTGCCCAAGATCCCGAGAGGAGAATGGAGGAGAAGGGATTGTGGCGTGGCCATCCCCCCAGGGGGTGATTTCTCGCTTTCTGTCTCTCTGTCTCTGTCTGGCGAGTGCACACGCCCTATAGCAAAAGTCTCTCAAAAGAAAAAAAAAATCACCCCCTAGAAGGGGTGGCCGCACCCCCGTCCCTC